CTCATTCTCTCTCTTAACTTTTAAATTATATACATATGTTTATTATATCTATATAATAGTACCAATATTAAGTTTTATATATATATATATATATATAATTATATATACATATATATGTATACACAGTTGCCTTTTTTTTACCATGTCCTGAAATACTATGATATATCTTTCCATTTTTTTCTCCCTCTGTGATTATATTTGATTACTTTTATTCAACTAATTTCTAGTTCAATGATCCCAACTTCTGCTTGTCCAATCTACTCTTAAACCTATCCACCGAGTGGATTACCAATATTGTATTTTTACACCTTTTCAGTATCCTGTCAACTGATTTATAAGGTATGTATTCTTCTTGTTTTTTTTTAAACAAATTCTGTATTCTCCTTTTTTTTTGTTTTTCCTTTGCAACTTTATTTTAGTTTCAAGGGGTACCTGTGCAGGCTTGTTACATGGGTACATTTTGTGGTCTAAGGTTTGGTGTACAGATAGTTTTTTCACCAAGATAATAAGCATTATATCTGGTAGGTAGTTTTTTAATCCTTGCCTTCCTCCCAACTCTCTACCCTCCAGCAGGCCCTGATTTCTGTTGTTCTTTTCTTTGTGTTCATGTGTAGTCAATGGTTAGCTCCCACTTATAAGTGAGAATATGCGGTATTAGGTTTGCCATTCCTGAGTTAGTCTGTTTAGGATAATAGCTATCAGCTCCATCCATGATCCCACAAAGGACATGATCTTGTTCTTTTTTTTTATAACTGCATAGTATTCCACGGTGTATTGTACCACATTTTTTAATCCAGCCTACCAGTGACAGGCATCTAGGTTGATTCCATGTTTTTGCTATTGTGAATAGTGCTGCAATGAACATATGCATGGATGTGTCTCTATGTTAGAACAACTTGTATTTTGGGGGGTATATTCCCAACGATGGGGTCGCTGAGTCAAATGGTAGTTGTGTTTTAAGATATTTGATAAATCTCCAGACTGCTTTTTACAGCGACTGAACTAATTTACATTCCCACCAACGGTATGTAAGTGTTCCCTTTTCTCTGCAACCTCACCAGCATCTGTTATTTTTGACATTTTAATCATAGCTATTCTGACTGATGTAACATGTTATCTCAAACATGAGAATATGTTACATCAGTCAGAATAGCTATGATTAAATGCTCAGTATCACTAATGATTAGTGATACTGAGCATTTTTATATGCTTGTTGGCCATGTGTATGTCTTCTTTTATGGAGTATCTGTTTATATCCTTTGCCCATTTTTAGTGGGAATATTTATTTTTTACTTATTGATTTAAGCTCCTTATGGATTCTTGATACCAAACCTTTGTTGGACATAGTTTGCAAATATTTTCTCCCATTTTGTAGGCTGTCTGTTTATTCTGTTGATAGTTTCTTTTGCTGAGCAGAAGTTCTTTAGTCTAATTAGCTCCCACTTATCAATTTTTGCTTTTGTTGCAATTGCTTTTGGATTCTTTGTCATATCTTTTCTAGGACGGATGTCCAGAATAGTATTTCCTATGCAGAAGGTTGAAACTGGACCCCTACCTTCCATCGTATACAAAAATCAACTCAAGATGGATTAAAGATTTAAATACAGAATCTAAAACTATAAAAACTTTATATTTTTGTAATGTTCTTGATCATATAATGATTTTTCTTCTCGATCATATAATGATTTTTTAGGTCCTTGGCACTAACATCAATGTATAGAACAACTAAGGATGTGGTTCTTTGGACTAATTTCCACTTTCTTGTTTATTTGATGCATAACTTTTCCTCTTCTCATGTCACATTTTTAAAATTTGTTTATTTTGTGTTGAACATCCTGTATAAAAAAACTGTAGGCAGGAGTGCAGAGCTTTTCAAAATAAAAGATTTCTAAGTAAGAACGTCCAAGGGAAGATAAACTCAGTTCCACCAGAATATGAAGCTGAACTGAGTTTTAGTAATACTTGCTTTTACTCTAATTTTTCCTGTTCCTCAGGAGTGGCTTTTCAGGATTTTGATTGTGAGCTGGGTGGGGGGGAGGTGGTTAATCCATTTCCTTTGCCTTAACATACGATATGAAATTTAGCTTTGCCTTCAATAATCATCAGTTTAACTGTTGGTCCCACACATTTTTTGTGATTTGCCAATATCACAGGGATGAGATCAAATGCATGATTAAGAAGCTTCCCCTCCCTGAATGGGGCTATTTCCATTTAACAAGCCCTCTCAGTGAGTACGATATACTATAATCCATTTGACATTAACTGAGAACATAGTGAGATACAATGATTGAAGATTCCAACAGTTCTGATTTGGGTTAATAAATGAATTAGCTACAATTTAGGAAAACATTATTTGAAGAGTGTAAAGAGTGCTGAGGTTGAGTAATTGTTTTATACATATCAAGTTTGTGGTATTTATACAACAACTAAATGGTCATGCTCCAACAGGAAACTGCATTTTTGACTCTGAAATTCAAGGAAGTGATAAGGTCTGAAATTAGAAATTTGAGAATAATCAGCAAACTGTTAGATAAAACTGTTAATATGTACATGCTTGCCCAAGGAGGTATATAGAAAGAGAATAACAATGAATCAAAATTATAGTTCTAGGAATTACCAATGCATAGTGAGATGGAGAGAGGAGATCAGTGAAAGAAAATAATAGGAGAAAATATGGAATTCTTCCTCTTTCTTCCTTTCCTTTATTCATTTTTTTCTTTTTCTTTTTTTTATTATTTTTTTTTTTTTTCTCTCTTTTTTAAAAAAAAAAAAAAGAAAAGAAAATATGGAATTAATGGAAACAAGATAGGAAAGAGGAGAGGTATCAAGATTTATTGGACAGATGGCTTCAGTGCCCCATCAATAAAAACCCACTTGATTTTTTTGGGTGGGGGGATCAGCAGGGAAAATTAATTCATGTAGGAAATAAAGACATCTAAAAATGAGGTTTGCTTTAGCCCAGATGTCTTAAGTTTAAAAATGCAGTTAATATTTTCTTTTTTCTTAATATTTCTTAGCTTCATTTTTCTTAGTATTTGTTTATTAGCTCAAAGTTCAACCAGACTCCTTGCTTGAATTGAACATTAGCAGCTTCAGGGTACAAATTCTCAGCTTCAAGACCAATTGGAAGGTTATTTTATTTTTGTAGTAGGTCCAAGACAATTCATTGATTCATCCTGATTGAACCATCCTTGAATCAAACACCAAACACAGAGGATTCAATGCTTTCAATTGTGTGGACTGGGTTTACATACTTATGCCCTGGGGCAAAAGGTAGACACAAGAACAACATGCACTGACTCCAAATTAGGCAAATGTCTTCATGGAAACTACATGTTATTTTAAAGAGTAAGTAACAGTAGCCACATATATGCACATGCAACATCCACTGTAAAGGAAAGTGAGTAAATATCTTCAAGGTGTGAGTTATCAGTAGCGGTACATCCTATAGAAAGAGTCACAGAAACAGAACTTATATACATTAGTGGGTCATTGTTCTCCCAAATATTGTTGTCTTCTAAGAAATCCAGGAAAGAGATTTTCTTCTGTAACACTTCATTGAATGACAGGTTTTCTTTGACAAGTGAATTTTTAATATCTAATTAGATTATTATTCCAACTTATTAGACTGTACTATTTTTGTAAGGCAACTTCTATCGCTTTGTCAATTGGAGGTGTTTCAAACAATTTCTTAAATGTTTCTATTGAAAGGAATTAATATTCTATACTATTTGGCAAGGTACCTAAAATTTAGTTATTATTCAAAATTATCTTTTCAAGGATTTATCTTGCATCATCACATCATAGCAGCAAAATAAATGTGTTTACAGGAATCACCATATGTTTAGATTGAAAAACAATTACAATGGTATCTACTGTTTTCTATTTGTTTTGCCCATTGAAAAGTATACTGGTATGTGTAATATGTTTTGTATTTTTAAAATTTTATGTTCAGGGGCACATGCGCAGGTGTGCTATATAGGTAAATTCTGTGTCACAGGGGTTTGATGTACCAATTATTTCATCACTCAGGTAATAAGCATAGTACCGGACAGGTAGTTTGTCCATCATCACCCTCCTCTCACCCTCCACCCTCAAGTAGGCCCTGGTGCCTGTTGCTCCCTTCTTTGTGTCTATATGTATTCAATATTTAGCTCCCACTTACAAGTGAGAATGTGTAGTATTTGGTGTGCTGTTTCTGTGTTAGTTTGCTTAGGATAATGGTCTTCATCTCCATCTGTGTTCCTGCAAAGGACATAATCTCATTCTTTTTCATGCCTGCATGGTATTCCATAGTGTTGTCATACTGGACCGAGCATAGAAAATTAACACCAAGACAAAAGTATGCCAGATTACAGGGTCTTTATTATGCTGGCGACCACAGAGGACTCACGTCCCTCCAACCTGTGGCGTCAAAAGGAGGGTGCCAAGACTTCTTATACCTGAAAAACCACCTTGGGAGTGGGGGTGAAGAGCAGGGATGGGATGAAAAGGCTTTAGACATTCTGAGGGCTAGTGGATTCTGTAAATCACCTCCTGGGTGGAGATAAGGGCTCCGGATATTCCAAGGGCCAGGGGACTTTTGTCATTCTGTTTGTTACTTAAGTGGTTTACAGAAGTCAAGATAAACATTTGTTTACCCATTATCTGGGTAAGATGGAAGGAAATCACAGACCTTAGTTACTTATTACAAATCGTAGGAGCCAAGATGGTGTGGGTTAGGACTGCTTGCCTGTCACATTAGGGCCACAGAGAGCAGTTACTGATAAGCAAAGTTTAAGCAGCTTTACATAGTAGTTATTTCGCAGAGCAAACTAGCAGTTTTATTTACAGAAGCCAAGGCCAGCAGTTATTGTGAGGAGAATGGGGCAGCCATTACAACTTAATTTTGGAAAACAGCTTTGTCTTGTATAAAATGGCATTGCTCAGGTTCTAACTTGAGGCTAGCTATGTTACAGTGTATATTTACCACCTTTCTTTTATGTAGCCAACCATTAATGGGCATTTAGGTTGATTCCATGTGTTTGCTATTGTGAATAGTGTTGTGATTAATACATGCGTGCATCTGTCTTCATGGTAGAACTATTTATTGTTACTTTAAGTATATACCCAATAATGGGATTGCTGGATTAAATGGTATTTTTTAAAGTTCTTTGAGAAATCACCAAGCTGCTTTCTACAACGGCTGAACTTGTTTACATTCCCGCCAGCAGTATATAACCATTCCCTTTTCTGTACAATCTCACCAGCATCTGTTATTTTTTGACTTTTTAATAATAGCTATTCTGACTAGTGTAAGATGGTATCTCATTGTGATTTTTACATTTGTCTAATGATTAACGATGTTGAGCATGTTTTCATATGCAAGTCCTTTGCCCATTTTTTAATGGAATTGTTTTTCTTTGGCTTATAAACTTGTTTATGTCTTTATAAATTCTGGATATTAGATCTTTGTCAGATTCATAGTTTGCAAGGATTTTTTCCCATTAAATAGCCTCTTCTTAAACAAGCTTTATTTAAAAATATTTAAAACTGAATCCAACAATTACTTGATTTTGAGGGATCACCCCAGAAGAGTAAAAATTAATTAAATATCGGCTGGGTGTGGAGTTGTACATCTGTAATCCCAGCACTTTGGGAGGCTGAGGTGGGCAGATCATGAGGTCAGGATATCGAGACCACCCTGGCCACGGTGAAACTCTGTCTCAACTAAAATACAAAAAATTAGTCAGGTATGGTGGCACATGCTTGTAGTCCCAGCCACTCAGGAGGCTGAGGCAAGAGAATTGCTTGAACCAGGAGATGGAGGTTGCGATGAGCCAAGATCATGCCACTACACTCCAGCCTGGCGACAGACCAAGGCTCCGTTTCAAAAATAAATTAAATGAATAATAAATAATTAATTAAATATCTTACTGCTCTTATGACAGAGCCAGCTTTTGTGTTCAGATGTAGATATGTTCTTTCATAAAGCTTAATTTTTTTCTCCTTATTTCATTTTAATATGTATCTTTAAAAAATTTCCAGAGGACTTCAGCCAAGATGGCCAAATGGGAACAGCTCCTATCCCCAGTTCCCAGCAAGAGCAATCCAGAAGGCAACTGATCTTCACATTTCCAACTGAGGTACCAGGTTCATCTCATTGGGACTGGTTAGACAGTGGGAGTAGCACAAGGAGGGCAAATCAAAGCAGGGTGGCTTGTTGCCCACCCAGGAAGTAAAGGGGGCTGGAGAACTCCCTCTCCTAGCCAAGAAAAGCCTAAACAGACTTTTCCAGACACTCTGGCACTCTGGCTCAGATACTGCCCTTTTCCCATGGTCTTCACAACCCGCAGACCAGGATATTGCCTCCGGTGACTACAACACCAGCGACACGGGTTTCCAGCACAAAACTGGGTGGTCGTGGTAGCTGCAGCAGTTTTTTTCTTTCTTTCTTTCTCATACCCCAGTGGCACCTGAAATGACAGCGAGGCAGACCCACTCATTCCCCTGAAAACAAGGGGGCTGGAGCCAAGGAGCCAAGTGATCTGGCTTGGTGGGTCCCACCACCATGAAAATCAGCAAGTTAAGATCCACAGTCTTGAAATTCTCACACCCAACACAGCAGTCCAAGCTCGACCTGGGACGTTTGGCCTCAGTAGGGGGAGGGGCGTCCACCATTACTGAGGCTGGGGTAGGCGATTCTAAACTCACCTCTGTAAACACAGCCCCTGGGGCATTTACACAGCAACCCAATGAGGCAGCAGCTCAGCAAAGCCTTTACAGGCAGACTGTGACTAGACTTTCTTCTTGCTGGCAGTGTATCTCTGAAAAAAAGGCAGCAGCCTGTCAGGGACTTATAAATAAAGCCCCCACCTTCCTGGGACAGAGCACCTGAGAAAAGGGGCAGTGTGGGTCTGGCTTCAGCAGCGTTAAACATCCCTGCCTGGCAGCTCTGAAGGGACCAATGGAGCCCACAGCACAGCACTAGAACTTTGATAAGGAGCAAACTGCCTCCTCAAGTGGCTCCCTGAACCCCGTTTATCCTGACTAATACACACCACATACAGGAGAGCTCTGGCTGACATCTGGCAGGTACTTTTCGGGGATGAAGCTACCAGAGGAAGGAACAGGCAGCAATCTTTGCTGTTCTGCAACATCTGCAAGTGATTCCCAGGCAAGCAGGATCTGAAGTGGACCTCCAGCAGACCTGCAGCAGAGGGGCATGACTATTAGAAGGAAAATTTAAAAAGAGAAAGAAATAGCTTCAACATCAACAGAAAGGATGTCCACTCAGAGATCCCATCCAAAAGTCTCCAACTTCAAAGGCCCAAGGTAGATAAATCCACAAAAAAGGGAAGAAATCTGTGCAAAAAAGGCTGAAATCAACAAAAACCAAAACTCTTCTCCTCCTCCAAGGGATCATAATTCTTTGCGAGCAAGGGAATAAAACTGGATGGAGAATTAGTTTGATGAATTGACAGAAGCAGGCTTCAGAAAGTGGGTAATAACAAACTTCTCACAGCTAAAGGAGAATGTTCTAACCCAGTGCCAAGAAACTAAGAACATTGAACAAAGGTTTGACAATATGCTAACTAGAATAAGCAGTGTAGAGAAGAAAAACACAGCACAAGAACTTTGTGAAGCATACACAAGTTTCAATAGCTGAATCGATCAAGTGGAAGAAAGGATAATAGAGATTGAAGATCAACTCAATGAAATAAAGCAAGAAGGTGAGATTAGAGAAAAAATAGTGAAAAGAAATAACCAAAACCTCCAAGAAAAATGGGATTATGTGAAAATACCAAATCTACATTTGATTGGTGTACCTGAATGTGACGGGAAAAATGAAATCAAGGTAAAATACTCTTCAGGCTATCATCCAGGAGAACTTCCCCAACCTAGCAATGCAGGCCAACATTCAAATCCAGGAAATACAGAGAATACCACAAAGAAATTCCTTAAAAAGAGGAACTGGAAGGCACATAGTCATCAGATTTACTGGGGTTGAAATGAAGGAAAAAATTCTAAGAGCAGCCGGAGAGAAAGATTGGGTTACCCACAAAGAGAAGCCCATCAGACTCACAGTGGATCTCTTGGCAGAAACCCTACAAGCCAGAAGAGAGTGGGGGCCAATATTCAACATTCTTAAAGAAAATAATTTTAAACTCAGATTTCATATTCAGCCAAACTAGACTTCATAAGTGAAGGAGAAATAAAATTTCTTACAGACAAGCAACTGCTGAAAGATTTCATCACTACCAGGCCTGCCTTACAAGAGCTCCTGAAGGAGGCACTAAACATGGAAAGGAAAACCAGTACCAGCCACTGCAAAATCATACCAAATGGTAAAGACCATCGACACTGTGAAGAAACTGCATCAATTAAGAGGTAAAACAACCAGCAAGCATCAAAATGGCAGGATCAAGTTCACACATAACAATACTAACCTGAAATGTGAATGGGCTAAAAGCCCCAATTAAAAGACATAGACTGGCAAATTGGATAAAAAGGCAAGACCCATTGGTGCACTGTATTCAGGAGACCCATCTCACATGCAAACACAGGCTCAAAATAAAGGAATGGAGGAAGATTTACCAAGCAAATGGAGAGCAAAAAAAAGCAGGGGCTGCAATCCTAGTCTCTGATAAAACAGATTTTAAACCAACAAAGATCAAAAAGGACAAAGAAGGTAATGGTAAAGGGTGCAATGGTACCCGTTACATAATGGTAAAGCGAAAATGCAACAGGAAGAACTAACTATCCTAAATATTTATGCACCCAATACAGGAGCACCCAGATACATAAAGCAAGTTCTTAATGACCTACAAAGACACTTGGACTCCCACACAATAATAGTGGGAGACTTTAACACTCCACTGTAAATATTAGACAGATCGACAAGACAGAAAATAAACAAGGATATCCAGGACTTGAACTCAGATCTGGACCAAGTGGACCTAGTAGACATCTACAGAGCTCTCCACCCCACAGCCACAGAATATACATTCTTCTCATCATCACATCACACTTACTCTAAAATTGACCACATAATTGGAAGTAAATCACTCCTCAGCAAATGGAAAAGAGTGGAAATCATAACAAACAGTCTCTCAGACCACAGTGCAATCAAATTAGAACTCAGGATTAAGAAACTCAAAACTGCAAAACTACATGGAAATTGAACAATCTGCTCCTGAATGACTACTGGATAAATACAGTTAATGCTCGACTTACGACCACGATTGGCTCCGACAGACCGGTCTTAACACGATTTGGTCGTAAGTTGAGTAGGCTATATGTACAGTACTGTGAAATGATGTTATAAAAATCTTTAAGTCATATTTTATCATAACTTTCTTTCATTATTGTTATATATCATAATTTTCTTTGTTCATTTTATGCCATTTCTATCATATCTACACCATTTTGTTTCTTATTTTTACATTCGTTAGGTTTAAGTAAAACACTGCATTACCAGTACAACTGGTTTAATATTTGCAAAACATACAAAATTACAAAATACAGGTGCATATAAAAATACAAAATACAGGTGTAAAAAATACCATAGGAAACATTTTCCCAATCGCAAAACTTATCAAAATAAACATGTACAAAACATTTTATTGGCCGCTGGTGCTTGGCTGCGGATCGTTGATGTCGTCATCTGAGGCAGCAGTTGGGGTTACCGGAGTTGGTTTTTTCATAAACATGGTGACCTTTGTCTGAATTGTATGTTTCTTTTTTTCTTCATAAATTTCACGATACGGACAAAACACATTGTGCACCATCCGTTCAATCCTTGCAAATCATTCAATGTTTGGGTCCATTGCTTTGAAATGTATAAGAAGTTTATTGGGAGGGGTTTGATGAAAAATATCCAAGACACAAAACACAAATTGCTGTACCGAGTCTGGGATAACAGTTGAAATGGCGCATGCGGAGATGGTAGTGCTGCCAGAAGCTGGTCTGCACTGTCGTACGCCCAGCTGGGCAACGTTTGCACTGCCAGATGCGGAGCAGTCATGGCTAGCGATTGCGGTCATAAAGTCGAATGGTCAT